GTGTGTGTGTGTGTGTGTGTGTGTGTGTGTGTGTGTGTGTGTGTGTGTGTGCGTGCGTGTGTATGTGTGTGCTGTAATTGCGCGGTTTGCGCGCGAGCGTTCTGCTCAATATTGATAATTTTCGCATCCGACATTTTTGCAGTAAACGACAGTGGCCGCATCGAAGCGGATGAATCGAGCTAATCAGCAAGTGCTTCAAAATGAGATTTTAAACGGGCCATGAATAAGTCATTAATGTCACGAATCTCGACAAACCGTGTGACGCACGCACGCTCAGATGCGAGCAATCGAGCTCGATTCACGATACTTTTCGAGAGACAATTTTCGATTCCTCGCGGAGCTCGGATGATGTGCCTGCATGGATCCGATTATACTCATGCATGTCATTTTACCAGTCGAGCCACAGCTTGTCTGCATCGATACTAATACTGTAATGGCCCACGGTCGACATGCGCGCAGTAAATGAAGCGTGGAGACACAGATCGAGCGATGCACGCGAAAACCCGTTAACTGTTACGGACGGATTATTATTAGATACGGACGAATTATTCGCGCTAAGATTTGTAAATTTTTGCGAGCAGAATTGCGAGGTCATTGTCGTTGACGGAGTGGCGGAGTGAGTAGCAGATTAGCGGAGATACTATACTGGTGAAGCACAGTTAAACGTTATTAGTGTGAACATAATGCGATTAGAGTGATGATAAACCTGAACGTCATTATAGACCTGTACATATAGTTCGTCGATATTTATTTGTTGGTCTCGTATTCTTTCCGTATGGACATGGTGATAGTCTGTACCGAGTCTAGACGATAGTAATAGTCCAACGGTAATGGTAATAGTCTACGATGGTATATAGGCTATAATGATATACTGATGGTATCATGGTCTAATGGTAATAGTCCAATGGTAATGATAATAGTCTACGATGGTATATAGGCTAATGGTATACTGACGGTATATGGCTACTAATGGTATAGAGACGATGGTAATAGTCTTGACATGGTAATAGTCTATATCAAGTCTAGACGGAGACACGTGAGTCGCAGATGTATGTTAAATGTTATTATCGATGTCCTATAGTGCCCTATTTCCAGATCGTGAGGGGACACAATACCTCGCCACTAGGCTACGCGACATGCGTGTATACGTGCAGGTTGTGTTCTATGACAAATTTACTGCATATAGAATGCATATATATATAATATATATAAATATATATATATATATCGATATATAATTCGATCTGAGTAACAGATAATATAGAAGCTGGCTGCTTGCCAGAATGATGTATATGTAACCCAGTAGCAATTCGGGGACCATGGGGGGTACATAAATATGCCACAGCTGCATTATGAAGTGCTATGTTAAATTTAATAACTGTCACTTGTCACAGACAGCAGCAGAGCTACGTATGATTGCCAGTCAAACCCAGAACATGCGCGAAGAATCATTGCCAGATAAATATTCTTTGCGCATGAATGTTTGTGGGTGTCTATTAATTGCTATTTAAAAGTGATATTTACGATAGAGTCAAGTTCAGAGGTAACTCATTCAAAACAATTCTGAATTTACCCTAGGGTACCGTGTGTATTACCTAGGGTGAAATATTAAGTTTATGAACTTGCCTTGTACGTAATACAGGTTAACTCGCTTCTGAATAGAGCGGTGCAACATTCAACCAGGAGTGAATAATTATATATTCTTTATTGGATCTATTAGATTCTATTAGATTCTAGATTTTAGATTAAATTCTAGATAGATTAGATTCAATTCTAGATTTTAGATTTTAGATAGATTCGCTTCTAGATAGATCTATTATTATTCACTCCTGATTCAACTGTATCGTTTCATATTCCTGGTGTCGCGTCAATAAGAATTTAGATCGGGCTATCTGAACTATCACGCAATAAGACCCAACACCCCCCGGGGGGGGGGATGCACCAATTAATAACACGCACAGCATGGATGTGTGGAGTACGCACAACAACATTACAGAACATTACAGAACATACAAGAACATTCCAGAAATGAGATTCACAGGTTCTGCTTGGTAAATTCCATCATTTACTTCACTCATTTTCACATATATGGAGTGTGTTACGAGAGATTATCCCTTTACGGAGGACACAGTCATGTCAATAGAATGCAATCGGGTATAACGAAAACCAATCATGATTAGATATATCGATAGTTGATGTATCTGCCTACTAATTCGTATACAGTCAGGATAGTTCATTGTGTGAATACCTATAGTTTGGATATTAAGTGTGAATCTATACTAACAAAATGCGCGTGTTAGAGTATATATATATATAATATATATATATATATATCTATATTATATATATGTGGTGTGCTGTGTTGTGTGGTGTGCTCTGTGTGTGTGGGTCGTCGTGTGTGTGTGTGTGACTGTGTGTGTGCGTGCGTCGGCGTGCGTGCGCTGCGTGCGTCGTGACGCCGTGTCGTGTACGTTGCCGCTGTGCGGCTCTGTGCGTCGTTAGCGCGCGCGTGTGTGTGTATGTGTGTGTGTGTCTCTGTGCTGTGTGTGTGGTGTGGTATGTGCAGTGATTTCCTGTGTTTCCGTTGTGCGCCTGTTAGCCGTGACCCCACGCGCGCGCGCGCGCCGCACACACACCTAACGTGCGTAGCGGCGACGCGGTGTGTGTCTTGTATGTGTCTGTGTGTGTGTGTGTGTGCCGTGGATGAATGTGTGTGTGTGTGATGTGAGTGTGATGTATGAATGTAGATGATTGTGATGTGGTGATGATGCATGTGAATGTTTTGGATGTTTGTGATTGTGATAGCTGTGACTGTGTGTGTGTGGTGTCTGGCCGGTGTGTCTGCGGTGCGACTGCCGCAGCGCGTGTTGTCCGTGTGTGTGTGTGTGTGTGTGTGTGTGTGCGTGTGTGTGTGTCTGCGCTGCGCTCGCCTCTCCACTCGTGTGTGTGTCGCTGTGTGAGTGTGTGTGTGTGTGTGTGATCTGTGTCTTGCAGTGCGTGCCAGTGCGCGCGCGCAGCGCAGCCGTATGTGGCGGTCGTGTGTGGTGTGTGTCTGCGTGCTGTGCTGTATAAAATGCTCACTATTTATCGATGTGTGTGTATTGTTGCAGCACCCGTACAGAACGGAGATAACCTGGAGAATAACCTCGAAGAGTTGAAGAGCGAAGCGTACGCATCTCAGCAATCTGAACCGGACGCCCGAGGATTCGTTCGCTCCCCTCCCCTCTCACTCGCCGAGCTGGCGCTCATGCAAGACTTGCTAGGTATATACTGCGCTCACCGCTGGGCACACGGCTGCCGCACCTTGCGGTTATTCGCGTTATTCATGTCGCAAATACTCTTGCCTCAGGTCTGCCTAGCTATGTCTCAACTTCATATCACACTTAACTATATTTCGTATAGGTTTCGGTGCTTTTGTTTCCCATGTCCCTTGTGTTTATTGCACCTGCACCCGTCATTACCTCCGCGCAAACGGAGTTTGCAACGGAACGGTTCATGTAAATCGGTCTTGTGTGTAGTGTGTCGTGTGTGTGTTGTTTGTGTGTGGGTGTGTGTGTGTGTCGTGTGTGTGTGTGTGTGTGGATGTGTGTGTTAAGTCTTGGCCGCGATCGACTAGCGCTTCGCAGTCAGCGAGTGCGCGACGTCAGCAGCAGCAGTGAGCGCGCGAGTCAGCCAGCAGGGACGTAGTAGAGCGCGCACCAGCGAGCAAATGCTTAGATGCTGCGGAGTATCGCATTGCTGAGTGCCCTCTGGTTATTATTATATGGTGGCTTA